GTTCTCGCTTTCGCCGCTTCCCAGCGCTCCCTCTCACGGCCTCGCTCGGAGGCCCTTCAGATCGCTCCAAGAGGGGCCAGGAGCTCCCCAAGAGAGGGCCCAGAGGGAGACCGCCAACCGATATTTCAAGGTCTCTGGCCCTCGAGGCCGCCTGTAGGCCCCCGGAGGCCACCAAGAGGCTCCCACGAAGCCCCGTGAGGCGCCCAAGAGGCCCCCAGGAAGCCCCAAGAGACCCCCAAGGGGCTCCCAGGGAACGCCCAAGAGGCTTCCCAACACACACCCCAAGAAATCACACCCCCAGAAAACCTTCCAGGGACATGGTTCATCATGGGCCCGAGAGTTCCCGGAGGCCCCCAAGGGGCCCTGCAGGGAACGCCCAAGAGACCCCCCAACACACCCCAACAAACCATGTCCTCAGAAAGCCTTCCGACGACATGGTTCATCATGGGCCCGTGAGTCTCCGGAGGCTTCGAAGTACCATCAGTACCATCCTACTACAGGAGAGCTGTCTGGGAAGTTGATTGGGAACATGACTGATCGCCTTCTCGCGGCCCTCCGCAGATCGTTTCGCACAAAGTTGCCCCAAGTGTCCTCTTGAATCGACGACGACGACGAAACGACGACGACGACGACGACGACGACGACGACGACGACGACGACGACGACGACGACGACGACGACGACGACGACGACGACGACGACGACGGCGCGCCCCAATAGGCGACGACGACGACGACGACGACGACGACGACGACGACGGCACGCCCCAACAGGCTCCACAAGACGCCCCAAACCCATGCTTCCAGAAGGCTTTCTGGGAATCCGATTCACACGGCCTCCGCCCACCTACACAACCATTTTCCTCGAAGGACTTTCGGAATGCAGATTGGCATGCGTGGACTGTGGTCCACTACTTCAGTGGAGCAGCAGTGAATTCGTCAAGGCCTGGGGCCTGCTAGAACGTGAGCGCGCGCGAAGCGCGTGCGATGGTTCTAGTATATATATACACAAATACATTTACATATACGTATACATCTACATTCACATATACCTGTACATACACATACACATTTACAAATAGGAATCATATGTTTACCGGCATGGGGGGAACCCCCTTCCACTCAACAAAAAGAAGCTCACCTAGGATCCAAGGTTTCCAGCCCCCCGGACACTTTTGCCAAAGGTACCCAGGCTCGTCCCGGACCTCCTGGGGCGCTTAGCAGGGTCTTGCCAGCAGATCCCAAGCGATCAGAAAGGTGACCAGGGGGGCTGAACACAAGAGAGCTCCAAGAAGGACCCATTTGGCGCCCAGGGGCTCCCAAGACAACCCAGAAGGCACGCAAACATCGTTTCATTCTTAGCAGCGCCCACAATAGCGAACATGGCTTCCGGTGTCGCCCCAAGACGGCCCAAGAGACCCCCAAGAGAGCCTCTAGACGGCCTGGATGGCCCCAAGACTGCCCAGGGAAACCCCAAATGGGCCAAAAAGAGGCCCAACAGGTCCTGGCAAGGCCCCCAAGACAAGCCCGAGAAGGCCATGGGAGGCCCCCAGAAGGGCCATGGGAGGGGTGAAACAGCCAGAGAGGCTTCCGGTGTCGCCCCAAGACGGCCCAAGACCCCCAAGAGAGCCTCTAGATGGCCTGGATGGCCCGAAGACTGCCCAAGGAAACACCAAGTGGGCCAAAAAGAGACCCAGCAGGTCCGGGCAAGGCCCCCAAGACAAGCCCGAGAAGGCCATGGGAGGCCCCCAGAAGGGCCATGGGAGGGGTGAAACAGCCAGAGAGGCTTCCGGTGTCGCCCCAAGACGGCCCAAGAGACCCCCAAGAGAGCTTCTAGACGGCCTGGATGGCCCCAAGACTGCCCAAGGAAGCCCTACATGGGCCACAAAGAGGCCCAACAAATCCTCACAAGACCCCTAAGAAAAGCCCAAGGACGCCATGGGAGGCCCCCAGAGGCCATGGGAGGCCACCAGGAGGGCCCGCGCAGCCCCCATAAGGTCCCTAGAGGGCCCAAGCTCACCAACGCGGCCCAAGACGGCCTCAGGACGGCTCGAGAGGGCCCCAAGCCGACCCACCAGGGCCTAACAAGGCCCACACGGCATTTTCCACCAAACTGACCCGAATCCCGGGTTCGCATGTAAGTGAATCGCGTGAATGATCTGCCGCGTGTGCCGCTGTCTTCTCTCAAGGCACCTCGCTCGGGAAGGGGCCCCGTGCATGGCCGCCGCCCTGATCGACGCTGGGTCGCGCTGGGCAGCCACTGTCGGCGGCCAGGCGCTCGGGACCTGGCTTGGTGGCGGCCAGCACACGCGCGCGTGCGACTGCAGCTGCCATTTCGACGCCTCGCCAGACGAGGCACTCATCGGGCTGCTGAAGGGCCAGCTCGACAGGTGCGGGCCAGAGCACCTCCGCGGGCAGCCGGCCCAGGTGCCCGCTTGCCCGCCGTCGGGCCACACCGGGATGGAGCTCGGTCTCGCGCCGACGCTCGGCGTGGTGCTGGGCCTTTGCGCGTGGGAGGCCGCGGCGTGGAGCTGCCGCCATCGGGCCCAGGCGCTCGAGGACGTGCATGGCAGCGGCTCGGACGGCGAAGGCGCTGGCAAGCCTTCGAGTGGGGGCCCGCGTGCTCGTCTTCTACGAGCGAGAGGACAACTACTGGCATGAGCGAGTCCTCTTGGGCCGTGTCACTCCCACCCGTTGGGTGGCGATTGCTCTTCATTTTGACATCTACGAGGAGGACCTCTCGGATGCCATGCACCTGTGCCTGGTTGGCCCGATGGGAGGCCTGCCTGCGAAGTTGTCTAGCGCATGGACATGGACAGGTATCAACGCAACGAGGCGGCGCTGCTCGATGAAGGGCGCGCGCTGGCTGAGGAGGTCCGCCGAGAGGAGGGGCTGCCGGCCGAAGGTGCGGGGCTGCCAGCGCTGCCCGACCCCGACGGCGACGCGGGGCCTGCGAAGGCTCTCGGCGTTCGCGCTGACGCTGGTGATGTTGTGCGTTGGGTGGTCCTGGAGTCCCGAGCTGGTTACCGCCCAGGTGACGAGCTTCTCGCTGGGACAGTCCCCCGCAGCACCGCTGGCGATCGCGGGATTGTCGAGCTCGCGGATGGCACCATGCTGGCGGTCGCGAAGTGGGGGACCTTCGAGGGGGCGAGCACCCCCGAAAGGAGACGGCTGCTGAGGAGCAGGACCTCCGCACACTGCCCGTTCGGTACGACAGGGCAGGCACGAGGATCAGGGACTTCTCGGACGCGGTCGAGCTCATGTCCACCAGCCCGATGCCAGACTGGCCAGCACTGGGCCCTCGCACCACCGCGTGGCTCGTGCAGCAGTTCAAGAGGCCGGGCCAGACCCCCCTCCAGCGTCACATGCGGTGGAGGCAGACGCAGAACCTCACCGCAGCGGACGCGGGGGTCGACGAACATCAGTTCTTGTCTGAGCTCCTGGAGATGGGCGCGACGAAGGACCAGCTCAATGAAGGAGAGCTCGGCGTGTTTGAAGCGATCTCGAGGAGGTACCAACTCTGGGAAGAGGTCTACGCTAACAGGCTCCGTGAACATGAGGCTGGTGCAGTTCGTGACTCGGGCGGATCGGCCTGGCTCGGTGAACGTGAAATATTTCTTGGGCAAGAACGTGGCCGCGGATGGGGCCTTGGTGTCTCCTGAGCTACAGACTTGGGTTTCGGGTCGCCTTCAATCGGAGGCTGCTCTACTCAAAGAACGTCGCAAAGGTCGTGAAGAAAAGATTCTTGCTCGTGGTGGAGCGGTCGGGGATGCACCTGCGCCCAAGGCCAAGGCAAAGGCCAAGGGCAAGGCAGGTGAGGGGGCTGCGTAGCCCCATCCTGAGTCCGAGGTTCCTTGGTCGCCCGCCTGCCCCCGAGCGGTCGACTATCTTCAAGGGGAGCTGCGGCATCGTCTGCGCTATGTTTTGCGACGACGGCGTTGGAGGCCGCCGCCGTGATCCGCTGCCGATTCCGATTTGTTCAGAGCTGATGTCTTTGCTTAGTGGATGTTCTGCTGCTGGTATTTCACTGTCTGCGAAGCGCAGGGCTGCGACCAGGAGGCGTCAGGATATGTGGTTGATCGATGGCATCGCCTCCCTCAACGAGCTGGGCGGGCAGGGTCGTCATGTGCCTGCCTCAGCCCCGCTGACGGCGGCCCAACGCGTTGCCGTTTGGCGTTTGGCTGCGATCTACGGGAAGTGGTCACCGCCGGTTGATCGCCCGAGTCCCCATGAGGCGTGGACGACGCTTCAGGGTCTCAGGCCTGGCTACTCAGAAGTCGAGGCCTCAGGTTCTCGAACAGTTTACCAGCGGGGAAACATCTCTCTCCCCAAGATTGGCGCCGGGAAGGTCTCTCTTCTGGACGTCCTGCCTGCTGATCTGCATCGCAAGCTGGAGACTGGGCGCGGGCTGTTGCGTTCCCCTTTGGAGGCAGCAGCACTAATTAGCGATGCAGGTGCTCCTCGCGCCATGGACCCGGAGCTCGGGCGGCTCGACTACGACTACGGCCACGCGCTCGGGGAGCTTCTCGCTTCTGGAGTTATTGAGGCCAGCTCGGAGCCCGTGCTGGAGGAGGCAGGCCTGTTTTTTTTCTTGCGGCGCGGAAGGACAAGAGGTTGCGTCTCATATGCGATACCAGAACGCCGAACATGCATTTCACAACTCCTGAACATACTGCTCTTGCGACGGGTGAGGCCCTATCTTCACTGGAGGCGTCTGGAGTCAGTTTGGTCGGGATGAGTTCTGGAGACGTTGACTGTTGTTTCTGTGAGTATTCTCTTCCACCCTGGTGCAGGCGCTACTTCAACTTGCCCTTGATTGACAGTCGCTTTCTGCCATCCGATGTCCGAAGTGCCTGTGGTCTTTCGTGGAAGAGCGGCCAGGTTCGCTTTCGTTTCAAGGTGGTGCCCATGGGATGGAGTTGGGCGTTTCACTTTATTCAAGAAGCTCACCTGCACATTGTCAGATCAGTTTTGCCGTCGCAGCCTTGGTGCCTTGACAAGTGCCCCGGGGTTGACCTGAAGACTGACGATGCCCAGGTATTGTACATTGACAACTTTGCAGTGCTGTCATCTTCCCCTGACCGCGCTGCCACAGCGGTCAAGGCCATGCAGTCGGCCTTGGCAGCGCGCGGAGTGGTCTCGGAGCTGGACCCCGACTCCTGCGAGCGCGGGGAGCTGCTGGGCTGCGAGCTCGACCTGCGCACTGGCTGCTGGCAGGTTCTGGGGCGGCGGCTCTGGCGGATATATGGACCGCTGGGGCACGCGCTCGGGAAGCGGGCCAGGGTGGCTGGCCAGGAGCTCGAGCGCCTCATCGGCCACCTGGTGTCGCTTCTGATGCTGCGCCGAGAGGGCCTCGCCATGCTCCACGCCTCCTGCGAGTTCGTGAGGGCATCCTACACCAAGCGGCAGCCGCTCTGGAAGAGCGTGCGCCGCGAGCTGGCTTGGGTGAAGTCCTTGCTGCCGTGCCAGCCGTGCCTGCGCGCTGACACTACGCTGCCTTGGAGCGACATGGTCACCTGCTTTGACGCGTCGCCCTGGGGCTACGGCATCGTCGAGACCGAGTGGGACCTCGATAGTGCACAGCGAGTTGGGCGAGTCTCGGAGCGCGCGCGCTTCCGAGGGCTGCTGGCGGCCGATGGGGGCCCCCCGCGAGCGCGCGCTGGAGCAGGATATCGCGCTGGCCCCTGAGCCCGCCCTGCTGTTTGCTGGCCGCGCTGCAGGCTTCCCGGAGGTCGACTACGAGAAGATGCAGGCGCAGCCTTGGCGCGTGGTGGGCTGCGGCCGCTGGAAGCGCAAGGAGGTCATTCATGGCCTGGAGGGGGCCGCCCTACCCTGGGCAGCGCGGCGAGCGGCAAGGGGCGCTCGACAGCACGGGTCGCGACGATAGTTTCTCGGATATAACATGTCGCTCACCCTTGCTGCTGCCAAAGGTCGTGCTGCCAACCATCGTCTGTTGGGTGTCTGTCGTGTGATCTTTGCCATCGGCGTCGCAGCAGATATGAAGATGCAGGTCAGGTGGCCCCCCTCAGAGTGGAATCCCAGCGACAAGCCCTCGCGCCGTTTCCAGCCTCAAGGTCGGCGTGACCGAGGGGCCGATGGAGGCGGCTGCGCTGCGGGCGAGGCCGCCGGCGCCGCTGGCCACTGCGAGCTCCCCCTCAGGCCGTCGCGCGCCCAGCTGGCGCAGGAGCCGTTCGCCTCGCCGAGCGCCCCCTGCGAAGGGTTGGTCGCCGGCGGAGGCGCTGGGGGCTCCCGCGCGCGCCGTGGCGCCGGCTCTGGCTGGGCCCGCGAGCAGGCCAGACTTGGCTGGGCGGCGCGCAAGGCTTGGCCGCGTTCGCTTGGCGAGCGACTTCGACCAGAGGAGGCGCCAGCTCTGCCCCCGCCAGACCCGCCTCGCGGCCGCGAAGGCACGCCCTCACACTCAGGAGCTGTACCTGGGGACGGTCCTTGGGCTGGTGCGCTGGCTTGGCTTGGAGTGCCTCCCGGACTGGCCGCGGCAGACCTGGGGCGAGGTGCTGGCGGAGTACGCGGAGGCGATCTACGACCGCGGCGGCTCGAAGGCGGCTGCCCAGAGGTTGGCGCCTGCGCTGCTGTGGGCGGAGCCTGCGCTGCGCAGGGCAGGCATTCGGGAAGTCTTCCCCTTGACGCATCAAACGCTCAAAGGGTGGAACGTCCTGGAGCCCTCCCAATCGCGGCCGCCTGTTCCGTTCGTGGTAGTGCTGGCGGTGGCTCGCTGGCTGTGCCGAGCTGGGAAGCCTCTCAGTGGCTTGGCCGTCCTGATAATGTTCGAGACGTACATGCGGCCATCGGAGGTGCTGGCCCTGCGAGCCCGCCAGGTTGTTCTGCCATTGCCGAAGGAAGGAGGCGCCTCAGTGTTTCTGACGTTTGTGGTCCGAGCCTCAGAGTATCAGATCCCGACCAAGACGAACGAGTACGACCTCTCGGTGCCGCTGGACTTGCGGCGGCAACAATGGCTGGTAGAGTCGATTTCCTTCGTCCAAGCGTTGCGGGAGCCAGACGAGCTGTTCCTTGGCCTCAGCTACACCGAGCTGGCCGCAGACTTCAGTAGTGCGATCTCAGCTCTGGGTGTGACCGTACTCGAGCCCACCCTCTACTCCCTCCGGCATGGAGGGGCCAGCCACGACAGGAGCACGGGCGCCAGAAGCTTGGGCGCCGTGCAGCAGCGCGGAGGATGGAAGGCGTTCAAGTCAGTGCTCAGGTACGAGAAGCACGGACGCCTGTCGATGGAGCTTCGCAAGTTGTCCGACCATCTCCGCGATGCGCTGCGCGCCGCAGGACTGGATCACATTGGCGTCTTCAACAGGTCCTTGGTGCGGCACTTCGCAGCGCGCCGCATCAGTCCCGAGTTTGCGTGGAGGTCTTCTCGGGCTGTGGTGAGTTGAGTAAGCACTTGCGTCACAGAGGGGAGGCGGTGGTGGAATGGGATGTGCGACACGGAGATCATTTTGATTTAACTCGCCCTGCTGTCTGGAGGACCCTCAGAGGCTGGATCTCTTCGGGCCTTGTCACAAACGTCGTGTTTTTTTTGGGGCGCCCTGTAGCGGGTGCTCCAGGGCTCGCAGGGCTCCGCTGTCTAGTAACATGCCTTCGGCTCTCAGCAGCCCCGAGTTTCCTCTTGGGCTTCTTGACCTCGAGGGTAAAGACTTTGTGAGCCTTCGAGTCTCCAACGTGTCAGGGTGGGTCTCACAACGCATCCAGAGACTTTGTTACAAGATGAGTGTGCCAGGCGGTGAAGAGAATCCTTCGCAAAGCTTCCGATGGCTTCGCCCTGATCGCCTCGCCTCCCGCAAGTTTGCGATAGAGTTGTGGATTACTGTGCTTGCGGGCGCCCGTTTCGTGCCCGCACTCGCATTCGATGTTGGAAGTGCGTTCTTCACCCTGGGCTCGAGGAGCTCGTTTGCAAGGGCAAGGGGATCGGTTCTTTTTCCGGGGCGCCCCATCTGGAGCTGACTGGTTTTTCGGAAGGCGGGTTCAGCACTAAACTAAAGAATGCTTACCCGCCTGAGCTGTGCGCTTTCCTTGCAGAAACGTTGCATTCCTCTTGCGTTGCACGGCAATCCACTGAAATATGGAAACGTATGCGGGGTTACCCCAGCACAATGCTTGAGTAGTGGGCCTAAGGTTTGAAGTGTGGCATTTTGTATCGCAGTTTGTGCCAAGCTGTCAAGCGCGCCTGCGTGCTGTTCTTAACCTCAAGCAGCTTCCGCCACTGGCAAAATAGAAGATCATGTAAGTGATTCACGTGAATGATCTGCCGTGTGTGCCGCTGTCTTCTCTCAAGGCACCTCGCTCGGCCCACGCCAGCCCAAGGCCTCTCCTTGTTCGGTGCCGACAGCATTTTGTATCGCAGTTTGTGCCAAGCTGTCAAGCGTGCCTGCGTACTGTTCTTAACCTCAAGCAGCTTCCGCCACTGGCAAAATAGAAGATCTACCATATGTCCGGGAAAGTTGTTGCGAAACCGGATTCGGCGCGCCCCCCCAGATTTTTTTTTTCGCGTGCCCCGTTGCGACCCGTTGCAGCATGACATTTTCGGCTTGGCATTGCTTTGTACTTTGCGGCATTTCTTAACATTGCGTCGGCTTGCTTGGTATTCAGTCGCGTCCCCCGACGGCGCCATCTCTTTCCCTCCTCCTGCTTCTTCTCCTGCTCCTCCTATACTGCTCCTCCTCCTCCTCCCCCTCCTCCTCCTCCTCCTCCTCCTCCTCCTTTGCACCCCCTGCGGTGCTCTTGTCGCCCACCAGTCCTCAGCATCAGCTTTTCTTCCCCGTCTGCTCGGCCTGTGTCTATGTCTCGGCGTCTGGCCGCATCTTCTCTACCCGTCCGTCTCTCCTGAGCGCTGCTCCTGCCCCTGCCTCTGCTGCTCCCCCCTCGCCCCCCCCCTTCCTCGCACGGATTGAAATAGCGGCCCCTGTCATCGGCGTCGCGGAGCACGCGCGGTATGTCTTCGAGGCACCGCCGCCTGCGGCGCCCCGCCCCCCGCCCGAGGCGGCAGGTCGGGCCAGAGGGTAGACCAGACTGGGGCCCTCCTTCTACGCTCGTCTCCTCCTCCTCTTCCTCCTCCTCCTTGATGCGCCCCTCTCACGGCAACCTTTTTTAGTAAAAGGTAGAATATGTGTACGGGTTGAAATGAACGCTGTGCCAGTAGCAGCTGGGATCCCCTACGATGTGTTGTTGCGGTTATTTTCAGGCGGGGGCCCTGTCGAAAGGGTTGAATCAGTCGAATTTTGCTTTCATCCCGAAAGGTGAAGATCCACAAGATCTCACTGACTGCATCCGTGATGCGGCCTCGCTCAGGCCATCAACTCTAAAGAGCACCGACAGTGAAGCTCTCGCCCAAACCGTCAACATAAACCTGAGTACAGTAGCCAAAGAACGTGTCCATAGGGTCCAGCAAAGCTTCATTGGAGGTCGCAATTTTGGGAATCACATTATGAATCTCGACGCTGAAACTAGGCTGACCAGTTTGGGCGACGATGCCAGTGAACGGCGGCCGCGTTTCGGTTCCTTTGATTTCCGAGTTGTTTTCCCGAGCATGTCTCAACAATGGCTCCGTGCGGTGCTTCGTAGGTTCGGACTCCCCCAAGGCCACCTCAATGCGCTGGAAGCTCTGCCCGAGGGATCTGTCGGGTATTTCAACGTGGGTTCACAGCGGGTCCGTCTTTTTGGGACTTCCCGTGGTGTCCCGCACGGATGCCCTCTGTCTGGCACTTTGTGGGCTTTGGGAATGGACCCGCTGGTCCGCCACCTAGTGCAATCGTGTGAGGCTGCCTCGGAGGTGATGGTCCCGGCTGTGTCCCCCAGGGGATCGACCGGCGAGCGCATTAGCCAGGCGTTCCCCTCTCCTGCTCTCACCGCCGCTGCTGGTGCGTGTGCTGACGACGTCGGTGTATCGCTTCCCTTTCTCTCGCTCCTTCCTCCCATCGAACCGCCCTTTCGGGCAGCGGCGGAGTTGGCGATGCTTGAGCTGCAGCCAAAGAAACGCTGCCTGGTCCCCACGTGGGCGATTTTGGACCCAGGGGAGATCGAAGCCTTTCGTGAAACGACTCGTTCGTTCGTGCCCGTGTGGGCGGAGTTCACTATGTGCAGCTCTTGTCGACACCTTGGTTTCATGCTCGGCCCAGGCGCCACGGAGGAGAGTCAATCCCTTGCGAGTGGCCAGAAATGGTGGTCACGCGGCCGCGCGGCAGCGGCGACCCGTGCGCCTGCGCAGGCGTGCCTGCGGCTCTATAGCATCCTCATTATCCCGTGTCTCTCCTACCTCTGCCAGTTCTTCTTTCTCCCTTTGACCCTTCTCCAGAAAGAGCTGCTCGCGCTGTGCAAATCCTTACGCCTGCCACCATCTAGTTTCTCTCTCGCGGAGCTGCTGTCTCTCCAGTGGCTCCACATGCCCGAGCCGCTGCGAGTCATGAGTGTCGTCGTGATTTGGAGGGCGGCGGGTCGGACGTTCAGAGGGTGGGGGAACTGTTGGTCGAAGCTTCGTGCTAGAGCCTTAGCGGAGGCGCCCGCAGTTCAAGCGCTCCGAGGCCGCTGGTGTGCCCCGTGTTGGAGCACACGGTTCAGCATTGCACAGCGATATGCTTCGCTCTTTGATCCTGCCCCTGATGCCTCCCTCTTTGGTCGTCCCCTTGCTGAAGTTGCCGCTCCTCCTGTCCGATCGTCTCCCCCGCTCTTTTTCGCTTTCTCGGTCATCAGGCAAGCTCATGTGTTCACGCTGGCTCGTGCGCAAGAGAGGAGACGTCGTCGCAAGCCGGTTGCGTGGCAAGCTCTCTTCTTTGCTTCTCTTCGCTCCCAAATGCTACTTGATGGCAAGCCTGCGCTCATCGGTCGACGACTCCGCTCCTACATTTCTGAGAGTCCCTGCCCTCCTGCCCCCATCCTTCGTCACCGATGGCAGCGTCTCAAGACCCATCTCAGCAGAGTTCCGCCGTCTCACGCCTGGCCTCACATCAAATCGTTGGCTGGCGCGTGGATCACCAGCGGAAGAGTTAAGATCCTCCCCCGGAGCGCGTGCAAGTTCGGATGCTTTGATCGCCTTGACGCCTTTCCGCAGTACCTCTTGTGCCCGAGGCTCTCGGCCGCCACCGACCTCCTCGGACCCCCTCCTCCTCCTGAGCCTCTGATGCGTTTGGGGTTGGGGGATCCTCAGGAGATCGCGGACGGGGAGGTCGGATGGCAGCGGGCCCAACGGGCCCTATTTTTAACTTTTCACATTTACCACAAGCTTCGGCCCCGCCTTGGCTCAGCGGTTGTCGCTACCGATTCCCAGCTGTACCAGGCCCGCAGCGCCGCGCGTGCTGCCCTCCATATGTAACGGATCACGCCCCCCCAGGAGACGTGTGTTCCTCCTCCTCCTCCTCCTCCTCCTCCTCCTCCTCCTCCTCCTCCTCCTCCTCCTCCTCCTCCTCCTCCTCCTCCTCCTCCTCCTCCTCCTCCTCCTCCTCTCTCTGCCGCTGCACCACTCGTCCGTCCTCCCCCGCATCCGCTTCCCTCACCTCGCTCCCCGAGATTCCCTCCCTCCTATCCTTCGCCCTCCACCCGTCGCTTTTCGGGAGCCCTCGGAGGCCCAGGAAGGGCCATGGACCGCCCGTTGTTTTGAAGATTTCTGGAAACCGCCGCAGGGAAGGGGTCACAATTCCAAGGCCACTAGGGATGGCGCGAAGCGCCAATGCAGTTCTGCGTATATATATATATATATATATATATACACACACACTCGCTTGCCCCACGACCCCCCTAGAAATTCTGGAACCCCCAGGGGGGCGTGGTGTAGGCCTGTTTGGGTCTACCCTCCTCGCACATATTTTCAACAATTTACAATACGAAACCGAACGTAGAACCATCGCAATGGAAACTGGAAGCTGGAAACTGGAACTGGCGCAAGGAGCAGCAAGTCTGAGCCACGCAGTCTGTTGGCCCCACATGGGGGTATGCTGATAACTGCTGGTTCCTGGTAAGACCCGGCGTCGCGTCAACCCTGCAACGTCGCGAAATATCACAAGCGAACCTCGTCTTCTCGCTGCAGTTTCCAGGGGCAGCGGTAGGAAGGGGGGGTACGCTCAGGGGGGGCGACCCCTAACCGCCCATGGACCATAGATCGACGACGTCGGGCCTGATATGCCCTCCCCGCCCAGGAGCGTGCGGCTTCGCTATCCGCCGACCTATCGGCGATGTGTCGCCGATTCCCGGTCGATGCTCTCCCCCCTTGAGCCAGTCAACTTGTCGAGCCAGATCGATCTGTGAGGGCCCCTGGGCCCGACGCTGGCCGAAGGCTCCTGCCCTCCGAGGAGCTGCCCGCGGCCGAGGGGGCCCGCGCCGCTGCCACAGCGGCGATGGTCCGCGGGGCGCTCTGCGTCCTGACGTTCGCGGCGGCGGCGGAGCCCGAGGGCTGGCGGCTGGGGCTGGCGGTGAACTCCCTGCAGCTGCACGCGCCGCGCGGCGGCGGCGGCGAGGCGTGAGCACCACAGGCAAGGCCTGGAGACCGTGGAGGGTGCTGCTGCCACTGCTTGTTTTTCGAGTGCCGTCGGGGCCGCCGCGCCGCGAGGCCTGGCCCTGCCCGCTCGGGAGGTCGGAGATGCCCAAGTGGTCCGGGTCTCTGCTTCGTTTCAGGAGGGGGGAGGGCCAGCACCACCAGAACGGCTGCACGCACAGAGTGGCCCGTCGCCACGGGTGGAGCCCAAGCACGCACAGAGTGGCTTCCTCTGGGGGCCGAGCCCAAGCACGCAGGCTGCCACCTGTCTGTCGAACCGCACGCAGCGATCGGCGAGCCGCGCGCCAAGGGTTTCGGTTGCCTCGGGTCATTCTGGCGTGTAGCCGACAAGAGGAGGAGATGGAGCAGACTCTGGCAGACAGTACCTCGGCTTGCACGTTCGATAATTCGGATGATGCGAGACGCGCAGCCTCACGAGGGGTGATTGCGTGCGTGGGGACAGGTGACGCTCTCACGGCAGGGTTATGCGTGCCGCATCTGGGCCAGACGGCCAGACCTCCGAAGAGGGTGTTGAGCGGCCAGCTGCCGCCCCGCCGCGCGGCATCTATTTTCCACCGCCGAGGCCGTGCACACATCAACACTCACAACACACACATAAACACACACACGCGCACGCACACACGCACGCACGCACGCACACACGCACAGTGTAACGGTCTCTCGGGCCGCGCTTTACGACGCGGTGTTGCCAATTTGGTATTTCCGGTTTGCTTGCCGCTCGCCAGTTTCAACGTGGCCCCCCTGGGGCCTGGCGGGGAGACCTCCTGGCCCCCTGGGTCGGCATTGGCTCAAAGGCAGAAGAACGATAACTACTGCCGAGATGTCGCGGGATCTCGTCGACGCCGATCGTGGCCACGCTCCATGCCGGCCGTCGCCGACTCGCTGGGATAATCCAGGAATGATCCACAAAATGGACGATGCCTAAGATGGACGATGATCAAGATCGACACTGGCGCTGCCGCGCTCATTATTGGTCGCTGTCCTCCCTCTCTTCTTGCCTCAGCGCCAGTGCCGATCCTGATCAGCGTCCATCTTGGGCATCGTCCCTGTTGTGGATCCTTCCTGGATCCTCCTCGCGAGCCTGCGACGGCCGGCATTGGACCATGGCCACGGTCGGCGTCGACGAGGGCCCGCGACAGCGTGACTCACCGAGCGCGTGCCACGACTCGCAAAATGCCTACTCGCACACGTCCGAAGAGCACATGTCCGCTCTGGTGTGACTTATCGCAGATCCTCCGCGGGGGATCCAGGCCATTTGCGAGCAGTCACTCTGCGAGTCGTGGAGCGCGCTCGTCCATCGCACTTCTGCCGTCGAGCCAGTGCCAGCAGCAGCGGCGGCAGCGCTGTCGCAGTGCGGCAGCGGGGGCTGTGTGCGGCGCGCGCCCGCGGGCGCGGCGCCCCCCGCGCCTCGGGCCCGAACGACAGACACACAGTGGCCTGGCGCGGTGCCCCCTCCCGCGCCCGCCTGCGGCAGCCGCCCGCTGCGGGCCGCCGCCGCGCAGCGCATTGCCGCGCGGCGTCGCCGGCCGCCAGCGACGGCGACGGCGGCAGCGGGCAGGCAGCGACGGCCTCCTCCGGGGCAGCGGCAGCGGGCAGACGGCGGGGACGCGTCGGCTCCCAATCGCCCAGGGATCGCCGAGACGGGCGGGGCAGCCCCACCCCGCCCAGGAGCGTGGGCCTCTGCGATCGGGGGCCCACCGCCGACCCATCTCGGGAAGGGAAAACTGGTCAGGTCAGCGCTCCTTCCCCTCTTTCTCCCCCCTCCTCCCTCGAGAGGGGCGAGGAAGGAAGGGGGGAGAGGAGGGGCAGGAGCACTGACCTGACCAGTTTTCGATTCCCAACCATCGGCGATGTATCGCCGAGTCCAGGTCGATGATGCACCCCTCCCTTGAGCCAGGCCCCCCCTATCGTTGCCCCTCGCTGCGGCCGCCCTGGGCGGCGCGCAGAAAGGGGGGGTAGTGGGAGGGGGCAAGGCTCCTTCGAAGCACCCACCTGCTTCTCGGCAGGCGCGGGTCTTGTCTGCAGGTGTAGGGCTGGCGCCTTCTGACAAGCGGCCTCCTTCTAGGCAGCCTTCCCCCCCTCCCCCCTGCCACCCCCCCCTGTGCGCGCCGCCAACGGCCACCTCTGCCTGCCCAAGTTTGGGGCGCCTCGTAGGTGGCGGTGCCCCGCGCCCTCTCGCCCTCCCGGCACCCAGACGTGCGCTCGCGGCCTGCAGGGGAAGCACGGCGGGAGGTCTGTGGACGTTCTCGGCCTCTGGGGGCCGGGCCCCCAGAGGCCGTCAGGAGACCTGACTGCGGTCGGGCGGGTGGTGCCGGGGGGTGACCTAACTGCGATCGTTGTTTGATTCACTGTTCTGCCCATCGGCGCGCGTCCTCGCACCCCCCCTCCCCCCCCCTGGAGTAGATCTTGGGTGTTTTTGGCGCCTGTTTCGAGCAGGTAGAGTCTCCCCCATAGGACGCACTTTTTCAAACAGTCGCATTAAGCAGAGGTCGGAGCCAGGCCCACCCCCCACCCCCCCTTCCTTCCGCCCAATGTCGACATGCCGCCGAGCAAGAAAACGTCCACAACGTGTGGCGAAGAAGGGCCCCAGAGGGGACTTTTCGGTCCCCTTTTGGAGCCAGCAGGGGCCCATGAGGGGCCCCAAAGAGCCCCTTTAGGGTCGTTCTCTTCACCCCCCAGTTAGGTCGCCCCAAGTTGCCGCCCGCCCGAAAAGAGCCGGCTGAAACCCTGGACCATGCAGGGTCGGGCCTTACTGGGACACCGCAGTGGGAAAAACAGGGCATCGCATGTCTGAGCACGCCTCGCCCCCCCCACCAACCTCTAAGTCGAGTCGCCAGGCTGGTGCGACGTGCCAGATGCTCTTAGCCCAGATCAGTCCAGTCATCAGGTGATGCCTGATTCGGGGAAGCGTAAGACTCGAGTCGGCCGGAACTCAGATGAGCCGACGCTTTTTGACGAGCGCGTCCTGAATTTTGACGTTCCAGCTTCGTGGGATGTCTGCAGCGGTAGCTCGCGTCAAGTTTCAGGTTTGGTCTCGTCTTGTTCATGATGGCCCTGTCAGGCCAACCCGAGTCCCCCGAACCCGAGTCTTACGTCTCACCGACTCTTGCCGGGCAGCACAGCCTGCTGGGGACCAGCGTGCCGGAACTATAGTACATAGCGAAGTGGTCGGGGGGAGGAGCGGGCCAGGGCGTTGCCCAGGAGTGGGCGTGGCCAGAGAGTACCTCGGACAGTATTCATGCAGGCCGATGCTCTAAGCACCCGAAGGGACAATGCCACGTATCCTATCGTCGGAGCTCTGGGTCTCCAGCTGGCCCCCTTCTCCCCGGCCCTGCCTCCCAGGTTGGGACGCCCGAGTGATCCGGGGTAGGTGCGGTCTGGGGTATCTCCGGTTCGGGGCCCCGAGGCGCGAATTTGTGTACGTTACCTTTGCCTGCTCCCAGCCCCGATGATTCGGGGCTCTGACAGGTCGGCGCGAGCTCCCGCCCCCCCGCCACGCCCCAGGGCCGCGGCGGCGCGGAGGCACCGCGGCGGCTTCGGGGCCAAAAGCTCTGGCGCCCAAAAGCGAGCGCTCGCCGATCGCTCCGCCTTTGCGACTGCAGCCAACCCGTAAAGCAAGGACGCACGATAAGGATGCAGGAGCCTTGGAAGGTCATATCGACACTTTGCGAGCGGGGCGCGGCCAGCGAAAGCTGCCAAGGATGGGCCGGAGGGGAAGGATGCAGGGGTAAGTTTGGAAAGTTGCTCATCCTTGTACTATGCGGGTTGACTGTACGGCGGAGGCGGCCTCCGCGCAGAAACATCACCAAGGCCTCCAGCCAGCAGCGCCGGCGGGCCACGACTCCACAAGCGGTAGATGCGGATGTGTTGTGGCGGCGGACCCCTGAGCAGGCGGTGCCAGGGGTGTCCAGCGCAGATCCAAGAAATCTGCGCGGACCTCCGTTTTCAGGCTGTCTCCTGGATGGGGGGAATCTCAGTGGCAGCGTCAGGGGGGAGGATAGGCCCCAGGGGGAAAGCATTGAGCCCGGATCGCCCGTTCATCGCGGAGAGGGGTCCGATCAGTGCTCCCGGCCCAGGAACGTGTGGATTCGAAATCAGGGGTTTCTCGCCGATCTTTCGGAGAATCGGAGATGTATCGCCGATGCCAGGTCGACGCCTCCCCCACTGGGAAGGTGCTCCCTCAAGTTTCCTTTCATCTCCGGGAGGTGAAGGAATCAAGGGAAGACCCCCCCCCCGCCCCGCAGAAGTGGTTCCATCCCCTCCCCCAGGTGCTTTTGCCAGCAGGTTTCGCCTGTCGAGGTGTTGATCACGAGGGTGGCTCTTCTGCCTTACAGGGGAACGGCTGGGAGACGGGCAGGGAGCAGCCCTCGGGCGGGCAAGCCTCCGTTGCCTGGCCAGAGCTGTCTCGCACCCCAAGGCCGCGGCATTGCCGGCCGCTTTTGAGAAGTAGAGGGGCCCCGCCCTCCTTCTCCGCTCCCTCCTCCCCTCCCTCCTTCCTCCTTCCTCTCTGGAGAAGAAGAAGAAGAAGCAGCACAAGCCAAAACTGTTGGAACTCGCGCTGATTTCTTGGATCGGCGCTGCCCCTCCCCCTGGCGGCGCCTTCGTCGCCGCCCTGGCGCGCTCCGCGCGCCAGGGAGGGGATCGGGCTCGGATCCCAGAAATCCTCGCGAAGCTCCAACAATTTATGTTTGTGCCGTTTTCTCTTCTTCAATTCTCCCTCCCTCGTCCTCTTCATCCCTCCTCATCCCTCGAGCCCCCACCCCCGTCGCACAGGGGAGGCCGGTCGGCCACCGCCTGGGCCAGGTCTCTTGGAGGCCTGGCCCGGCGGCACCTCTGGCGTACGCGTCGTCGCCAGGCATCCCCCACTCCATTCATCCCTCTCCCCTCTTTCCTCATTCCTCCTCCCCAGGACCCCGACGTCATAATTTTTTCATGACGTGGACCCCCGAAGGTCTCGACCCATTCCCT